GAGGAGGATGAGGAAGAGGAGGAGAAGAAGGAGTGGCAGGAGCAGGAGCAGGAGCAGGAGGCTGATAAAGAGGAATGGAAGGATGAGTATTATAATAGGCGGACAGGGATGGTGATGAGGAGGAGCAGGAGGGATGGAGGAGGCGATTAACAGGATATGCAAATGGGCCGGAGGGGGAGGAGGATGATGGTAGGGGGAGGAGAACAGAAAAAAGGAGGATGATGAGGAGGCCGCGGAGGAAGAGGAGAAGAGCAGGAGCAGGAGGCTGATAAGGAGGAGGGGAAGGAGGAGTATTGAAGTAGGCGGACAAGCATGATGATGAGAAGGAGGGGAAGGAAGAAAAGGAGGAGGCGGAGGAGGAGGAACAAGAAACATGACGAACATACGAGTCTCCTAGGATGTCTCTTCGGAGTTGTCGTGGGAGCTTCTTGAAACGTCTGGGAGCTTCTTAGGAACCTCAGAGAGACTATTGAGGCTTCTTGGGGGCCTCTTGGGAAGCTATTTGGGGCGACTTGGGCGCCTCTTGGGCCCGTCTGGGCTCCTTTGGGGGCCTTGTCGGGGCGTTCATGGAAGCTTTAGGGGCTCTCTTGGGGCCATCTTGGATGATATCGGTCAACGAAGGGGGGTTCCTTAATTACTGCCCCCCCTCAGGAGCACCAACAATCGCCTCCTGGACCCATCTTGGAGCGTTCTTCGAGCTCTCTTGGGGCCGTCTTGGGTCTCTCTTGGGGCCATCCTGGGCCGTCTTGGAGCCATCTTGAAGCCTCGGATGGCCATCGGAAGCGAAAGGGTGAGAAAGCAACAAACACATAGATTTCCTTAGGTTCTGGAACGATGTTTGGCTTCGTCGGGGCCTCGTTGGGGAGCTCTTTTGGCCACTTAGAAACATCTTGGGGCGGTCTTGGAGCGTCTTGGCGCATCTTGGGAGCCATGTCGAGGCATCTTGCGCTATCTTGAGCCATCTTGGAGGCTATCTTGGGCTCGCTGTGGCCCTCTTGGAGCCAACTTGGGCGAAAAGGTACGCGCTGACACCTCCCCGCCCCCCCCGTCCAGGTCTATGTGGAGGGGGTAGGGGGAGGGGTACACCCCTCCCCGAAGGGGAAGAGGGATGAGGAAACGCCCTAAACCACCGACGCCCAGAGGGCTGGTGGGATTCCTCTCTAACTCTATTTTCCGTCCTGGCCCCGAATGGCCATACTCCTCTCTACTTCTGGGATTGGCGATCTAAATTCCTCTCTAACTCTATTTATCCTTCCTGGCCCCGAATTGCCAGTCCTCTCTAACTCTAACCCTGGGATTGGCGATCAAACTCCACTTTCCTTTCTGGCCCCGCATGGCCAGACTCCTCTCTAACGCTAGGACTTCCTATCTAAATTCCTGTCTAACTCCATCGTCCTTCCTGGCCCCAGATGGCTAGAATCCTCTCTAACTCTAAAACTGTTTCTCAATTCCTCTCTAACTCCACTTTCCTTTGAGGCCCCGGATGGCCACCATCCTCTCTACTTCTGGGCCTTCCGATTTGAATTCCTCTCTAACTCCCTTGTCCTTCCTGGCCCCGGATGGCCAGAATCCTTTCTAACTCCACGATTTCCGATCTGCATTTCTCTCTAACTCAAGTTTCTGTCCTGGCCCCGAATGGCCATAATCCTGATTCGAGGACTTCCAATGTAAAGTCCTCAAAAGCGAACATTTCCTTCCTGGCTCTGGATGGCCAGAATCCTCTCTAACTCTAGGATTTCATGCCCAAGTTCCTCTCTGACTCGATTTTCCTTCCTTGCCCCGGATGGCCAGAATCCCCCCTAACTCTTGGACTTCCGATCCAAACTCCTCTCTAAATCCATTTTTTCCTTCCGTCCCGGATGGCCAGAATCCTCTCAAATTCTACGAGTTTCCATGCAAATTCCTCTCTGACTCCACTTCCCTTCCTGGCCCCGGATGGCCAGAATCCTCTCTAACTCTAGGATTTCTGGTCTAAATTCCTCTCTAATTCCATTGTCCTTCCTGGCCCCGGATGGCCAGAATCATCTCTAACTCTAAGACTTCCTATCTCAATCCCTCTCAAACTCCAGTTTTTTCTTCCTGGCCCTGGATGGTCAGAATCCTCTCTAGCTCCAGGACTTACGATCAAGTTCCTCTCTAACACTATTTTCCTTCCTGGCCCCGGATGGCCAGGATCCTTCCTAACTCTAGGGCTTCCGAATTGAATTCCTCTCTGACTCGATTTTCCTTCCAGGCCCCAGATGGCCATAATCCTCCCGAACTCTAGAACTTCCTATCTCGATTCCTCTCTAACTCTTTCCTTCGTGGTCAATCCTCTCTAACTCTAGGATTTCTTGTCCAAATTCCTCTCTCACTCAATCGTCCTTCCTGGCATCAGATGGCCAGAATCCTCTCTAACTCTAGGATTTCCGGTCTAAATCCCTCTCCAGCTGCATTGTCCTTCCTGGCCCTGGATGGCCAGACTCCTCTGAAATTCTAGGACTTCCTATCTAAATTCCTGTCTAACTCCATTTTCCTTCCTGGCCGCGGATGGCCAGAATCCCCTCTTACTCCTCAGGTGTTCTGGTCGAAATTCATATCGAACTCCACTTTCCTTCCTGGTCCCGAATGGCGAGTATCCTCTCTATCTATAGGATTTCTGATCCAAGTTTCTCTCTAACTCCATTGTCCTTCCTGGCCCCGAATGGTCAAAATCCTTTCTGACTCTAGGATTTCCGATCAACATGTCTCTCTAACTCCGTTGTCCTTCTTGGCCCCGCATGGCCAGAATCCTCTCTCGAACTCTAGGACTTCCCATGTCAATTCCTCTCAAAACTCTACATTGTTCTTCCTGGCCCCGGATGGCCAAGATCCTTTCTAACTTCACGGCTTCCTAACTCAATTCCTCTCTAACTCCATTGTCCTTCCTGGCTCTGGATGGCCAGAATCCTCTTTAGCCTCTGAGCTTCCAGTGTACATTCCAGTCGAACTCCACCTTTTCCTTCCTGGCCCCGGATGGCCAGACTCCTCTCTAACTCCAGGACTTCCGATCCGAATTCCTCTCTAACACCATGTTCCTTCCTGGCCCCGAATGGCCAGAATCCTTTCTCTTTCTCTAGGAGTTCCTATCTCAATTCTAGACGCTTCGCGTATCCCCACCAGCCCGTCCAGAAACGACGCCCAGGCGAGTATAGGGTCGTCCTGAGGGGTTTTTCGGCGTCTTGGGTGCCTCGGGGGGGCCTCTGTGGGCCGTTCGGGATTCTCTTTGGGGCCTCCTGGGGGCCTCTTGGGGCCTCTTGGGGCCATCTTGGGGCCTCCTGGGCGCTCCTTGGGGCCTCCTGGGCGCTTCTTGGGTGCCTCTGGGGGGTCTCTTGGGGGTCTCTTGGGGGCCTCCTGGGGGCCTCTTGGGGAGCCTCGGAGCCATCTTGGAGGAGATCGATCAACGAAGGGGGGTTCCCTAATTACAGCCCCCCCCTCAGGAGCCACGATCCTCGTGAGGGGTGTCGAATTTTAGCCCTCCCAGGGGTCGATTTTGGGCGCTCCAACGCGCCGCGGAACCCCCTGTCCAGGTCAGTGGGGAGGGGGTAGGGGGAGGGGTAAACCCCTCCCCGAAGGGGAAGAGGGAGGGGTGGAAGAGGAAACTCGTTAAACCACCGACGCCCAGAGGGCTGGTGGGATTCCTCTCTAACTCCTTTTTCCTTCCGTGCACCGAATGGCCAGACTCCCCCATAACTCTAGGACTTCCTATCTAAGTTCCTCTCTGACTCCATTTTCCTTCCTGGCCCCGAATGACCAGATTCCTCTCAAACTCGAGGGCTTCTGGTGTAAATCCCTTCCCAACTCCACTTTTTCCTTCCTGGCCCCGGATGGCCAGAATCCTCTCTAACTCTAGGACTTCCTGTCCTATATCATTTCATCTCTAGCTCCATTGTCCTTCCTGGCCCTGGATGGCCAGAATCCTCTCTAATTCTAGGACTTACTATCCTTCATAATTCCCTCTCTAATTCCATTGTCCTTCCTGGCCCCGGATGGCCAGAATCCTCTCTAACTCTAGGGGTTCCTATCCTATATAATTTCATCTCTAGCTTCATTTTCCTTCCTGGCCCCGAACGGCCATAATCCTTTCTAACTCTAGGATTCCTATTGAAATGTATCTCTAACTCCATTTTCCTTCCTGGCCCCGAATGGCCAGATTCCTCTCAAACTCTAGGACTTCTTGTCTAAATTCCCCTTTGACTCAATTTTCCTTCCTGCCCCCGAATGGCCAGAATCCTCTGTCTCTAGGACTTCCCTTCAACATCTAACTCTCGGATTTCAAAACCAAATTCCTCTCCGGCGATTGAGCTCTTGGCATGTGTAAGTCCTGAAACCTACCGCGTGGATCATAAGTCTAAGTTCCTACTTCTAGAGCTTATCGCTGACTCCCTAGATCTCTACGCTGGCAGTCGCGCGCATGCACCAGGAACCTCCTCCTGCTGCCGCGCAGCGCCAAGGGGGAACGCCTGGCCGGGACCGCGACTGCCGGCGCAGCTGCTGCCGCGCAGCCGGGACGACGGCCGCGGCCTCTGCGGCAGCTGCGGAGGCCTGCCCTTCCTGCCGCCCGCGCTCCGATGGCGTCCCGCGCTCCCGGACGCCCGGAGCCCGCGCGGCGACCTGGGCGCACCGCGCGCGGTGCGACGGCCGGCGGCCCCGGGGGCCCGACCCCCCGAGGAAGGGGAGGGAGGAGCGCAGGCCGTGTCTCTGGGCTTCCAGGGGGGCCCCGCGGGGGCCCCCAGAGAGAGAGAGAGAGAGCAGCGCCGGGCGGCGCGCGCGCCCGCGCCCGCGGGAGGCACTCGGCGCCCGCGGGCTGCGGGGGCCTCCTCTCCTGCGCCCCCGCCCCCTCCCCGCCCCCCCCCCTCCGTGCGCCGCCCCCTCCTCGCCCCCCTCCGCGGGCTCCCTCCGCGGGCTCCCCCACCCCCTTCTCGCCCCCCCTCCGTGCGCCGCCCCCTGGCCGCTCTCCGCCCCGGCTGCGGGCCGCGCTCCGCGAGCGCCACGCAGAAGTCGACGCTGGCGAAGGCCATGGCCACGGGCGGGCGCATGCCGTCGTGCAGCTGCCGGGACACCACCTGCTGCGGGGATCGCGGTCGTCTGGGCTCTCGCGGCCCCTGGTCGGCGAGGGGGGCACCGGGGCGCCGACCGCTCGAGGAGCGCAGGGCGGCGGCGAGGGTGGCGACGAGCGGAGGACGGTGGAGGAGGGGCTCCCTCCTGCTCCTCCTCGTCCTCCTCGTCCTGCTCTTCTCGTCCTCCTCACCCCTCCTCCTCCTCCTCCTCCTCCTCCTCCGCCTCCTCCTCCTCCTCCTCCGCCTCCTCCTCCCTCCTCCTCCCCTCCCCTCCTCCTCCCTCCTCCTCCTCCTCCTCCATCCTCCTCCTCCTCCTCCTCCTCCTCCTCCTCCTCCTCCTCCTCCTCCTCCTCCTCCTCCTCCTCCTCCTCCTCCTCCTCCATCCTCCTCCTCCTCCATCCTCCCTCCTTCGCCTCCGCCCCTCGCTCTTTCTCACCCGCCTCCCTCCCAGGGAGAGGGGGGGGAGGGGGCAGAGCCCCAGAAGGAGAGTGCGAAGGGAGGGAGGCAGAGGGAGGCGGGGTGGGGGATGGAGTGAGGCGGGATGGGTGAGGATGAGATGAGGCGGAGGGAGATTGAGGCAGAGGATGCGGGATAGGGGTGAGGATGAGGACAAGCGAAGACGCCCCTCCTTTTAATCTCCCTGCGAGGGACAGGCACGTCCGAGTAGCACCCACAAGCGCCCAATGAGGATGAGCAGCAGCAGCAGCAGCAGCAGCAGCAGCAGCAGCAGCAGCAGCAGCAGCAGCATCAGCAGGTCCTCTTCAGAGGACAGAGGACGCAATGCACCTGATCGGTTCCAAGGCCGACGCTTAGATATGACAAACAACGTGCGGGGGGACGAAGACGGCAGGAGGAAGGAGAGCACGGCATTGGCGTATCGTCTCTCTCTCTCTCTCTCGTCGTCTCGTCTTCCATGTTGTTTGTTTGTTGTCATGCATGGTGGACCGCCCAGGCTGAGGGGCGCCAGGGGGAGAATCACTGACCTGCAACCGACGATTGAAGGGGCCCTGGGACACACAGATAAATACACACACATAAAAGCGTTCCCCATCTGTTCCCATATTTTCTGGGTCTCTGTCTTCCCCCCCTCGGCCCATATTTTCCCATATTTTCTGGGGAATCGCCAATGCATTGTGTCGGTGTGTTTTTTCTCCTCCTGAACGAGGCAGCACCCGCAGATCGGCGACGAGGCCCCCCGACGGGGACACCCTGCGCTCACGGGCAGGCCAGGGCACCAAGAGGCCCCGCGCGGCGAGGCGTGTGCGCATGGGACGCTAGGCTCCCCCCTGGGCCCTCCTCCTCCTCCTCCTCCTCCTGCTCCTCCTCCTCGTCCTCCTCCTCCTCCTCGTCCTCCTCCTCCTCCTCCTCGTCCTCCTCCTCCTCCCTCCTCCTCCTCGTCCTCCTCCTCCTCCCTCCTGCTTCTCCTCCTCCTCCTCCTCCTTCTCCTCGTCCTCCTCCTCCCGTCCTCCTCCCCGTCCTCCTGCTCCTTCTCCTCCTGCTCCTCCTCCGCCTCCTCCTCCGCCTCCTATGGCACCGACACCGCCACTCTCGGGCCCTCTCGTGGGTTGCGTGAGTTCAGGCGACTCCGGCGGTGGCAGCGAGGGCCTCCCGAAAGGCCCACAAATGGCGAGAGCGAGACGAGGGCAGTGGTATCGGGATGATGAGGGCAGTGGATGAGGAGCCCCTATTTAAGGAATGCACGGTCTGGAAGCCAGTGGAACACCAATTGACAATCGAGGCTTGGCCACGGATCTCACCACCGCACCCGTCAGACGAGCAACCCTCGAAGGTCTGAAGCCTCCCGGGCACACTCCTTACTACGACCGCCCCCACCGTGCGGCAGACTCGTGTCGTGCCGACTTCGGCGTTGGTTTCTGACACAGCTGGGATTTTTCAACCTTCGCCGAAACGCCAAATTTTCAGATCGCTCAACATCGACCGACTGTGGTTGCCAGCGGCGGTCAACGTTGAGCGCTGGTGGCGGGGTCGACACGACGCGAACCTACCGTGGTGGTGTCGGCACCTTTTCTTCCTCTGACAGTCCTCCCTGGTCGGCGCCCTCATCATACTTTCTCCTCTTCTGACAGCCCTCTCCTGTCGGCCCTTGACAAGCTTTGGAGGCGGCTGGGGGTCTGAACTGGTTGGGACTCCAGAAAAACTGTCAGGAAAAGGGGTGAGGTCAAATCCGCTCAAAATCGGTCCCCAGACTCTTCCCGGGGTCCATCTGGTACAACTTTTCACCCCAAATCCGTTTTCAAAGTCCCTGGGGCCGGAAGCGGCAACTGGTGATCGAAAAAAGCAAAAACCCTTCCCGAACCCAGAATCTCGAAGCTGCTTGCCCTTCCTGCTGGCTGGAACCAGTGCTGGGCCATCTCAGACCCCAGACGACTCCAACCGCGTCCAGCCCCCCGCCGTCGAGTAGATCACGCAGCCCTGCTGCGTAAGCGGCGCGGTGAGCAGCGAGCCACCTCGATCCGCCCCCCGCGCTTCCAGTACCCCTCCCACTTGCAAAACCTCCCGCGGACCTCCAGAGGGGGAGTGATTATCAAGCTCGCTACAGGCTTGAAGGGGACCTGAGCCCATCTTTAGGGATGCAGCGGTCATCGACGAACTGCTGGAGGATGTTGGGCAGCTTAGGGAAGAGTCCGCTACCCCAGAAGTGGACGACGACGAGTCACATCCTTAACGTGACCAGGATAGCCCAAACACAATGCTAGTGGCCGCGGTGTAGCTGGTCCATTGGTTGAGCCACTGGCCGTGGATCGAGGGCCGCGCTTGTCTTGGGTTTCGGCCCGCGAGAGCTCCCGGGGGGGCCACGGGAGGCCTCGTGAGACCTCTGCGCACCACCTCGGGAGGGGGCAGGGGAAGCGATGGGAGACGCGGGAGGTGCGGAGGAGGGAGAAGGCGGAAGGAGGACAAGGACGCGGTGAGCACCACGTCGGGATCCACATCGAACCCAACACATGATAATTGAGAAACAACACCTTCGGCGTAAACACCTCGCTAGACGAACCGAGATAGAGTGCATGATTCGCTTCCTCCGCCTCGTCCTCCACCTCTCTTCCTCCTCCTCTGAGGACTCATATGGTGGTCATTACTCGTTGCTGGACAACAGCCAACGTCAACGCCTCCCTTTGCAAACACTGCGACTCATGAGTGAAGCAAAACATACACGAAGTTTGAACATGGGTACTGCCCAAGCTGTCTGAACCGAAACATCGGACGGCATTTCCCTCCTCAAGCCACCACACCGCTCCACCACCACCACCACCACCACCTCCTCCTCCTCCTCCTCCTCCTCGTTCTGGTCCTCCTCATCTTCTTTCACCTCCTCCTCCTTCTCCTCCTCGTTCTGGTCCACTCTCCTCTTCGTTCACCTCCTCCTTCTCCTCCACATCCATCCTCCTGCCCTCCTCGCTCATCCTTCACGTCCCTCCTCCTTCGATCCTGCTCCACCCTATCCTCCTTCTCTTCATCCCTTTTCCTGCCCTTCCTTCCTCTTCTTCCACATCCCTTCTCCTACTTCGCCTCGTCCTACTCCTCATCCCGCCTCCCTACTCTTCATTAAACCGCTGAATCACTGGAGTCTGAGGTACCTGGCTTGGAACATGGGCTCGTTCCTTGAGTTCATCCCGAAGATGGATGACAACGTTGGGCTGAAGGGGGACGCTAGACCTCTTATCATGCCCCGATCGGCGGGAACTGCTATCCCTCAGATTTCCTCACCAAGCCTCGTTACGAGGGTCATGCCGCCGCCCAAACCAGTCATTGTCACTGCAGTTGCCTTTCTTCGATTGCAATCATGGTCCAGCACCTAATCCCACCAACCCTCTGCGCGCAGGTGGTCTAACGAGATTCTTCTTCCCTCTTCAAAAAAACCCTCTCCCCCTGCGGGGATGGGTTGACCCCTCCCCCTTAACTTTTTTTGGGGGTTCCGCGAGGTGTCAGGGCGTCCAAAACGGCCTCGGCGAGGAAGCCATTATTTTGTTACGAAGGTGTTGGCCCCATTTTGGCCTCTTTGGGGGGGGGGGACTGGACGTTGCACCATCTCCTCGCTTGATCGAGCCTTCAAGATGGCCTGAAGAGGCCTTCCAGGGCCCCCAAGAGGGCCCCAAGAGAGCCCCAAGAGGGCCCCGAGAGAGCCCCGAGAGAGCCCCGAGAGAGCCCAAGCACCAGCAGAGGCAGCAACAACATCAGCCAGCAGCAGCAGCAGCAGCTGATGGCTGAGAAATCCCACCAGCCCTTTGGGCGACAGGTGGTCTTAGGGATCATGAGGAATACATAAAAGCGGAAGCACAATGCAATATGCTGTGGATTGGAGGCGGGAGTATGTGTTCACGCGCAACTGGTGATATCTCAGCGACGGGGCCTCGAATGCGAGGAGATGGATCCCTCCAACTCCTCCTCCTCCTCTTCCTCCTCTTCCCCTCTCCCCCACGCGGCCCCCAGGGATGGCCCGAAGAGGCCTCTCAAGGCCACACCCCGATCTCTCGGTTCATCCTGATTTCTCGTTTTGTTTCGCTCGATGTGTCCCTTCGTCCCTTTTTTCCGGCAGCTCTCGTTGGCAGGGTTTCTGAATGGGCTGGTGGGGATATTTTTTCGTCGCGGCCGCAAGCGGAAGCGCAGGCGGCGTCCGAAGTCAGCCCCGGGCTACTGGGGATACTTTTTGGTCTGCGGGCTCGCGAAGCAAGTCGAAAGCCGTCCGATCACTAGCAGGGCCGCGACTAGGCAGCAAGAAAAGAGAGGCTGATGGGGATCTATTTTTTTTTGGGTCGTGGCCACCAGCGAAGAGCGCAGGCGGCGAACAGGGTGTCCGGACCGACGGGCAAACCGAATTCGCTGCTGGGCGCAGCACGAGCCGGCCGGGCCAGCTCACAAACGCAGCAGCTGGGGCAGCAGCGGCGGGGGGCTGGCTGGCTGAACTGGGACGCAGGTGGTGGGGGTACTTTTTTGGTTCGCGGCTCCATGGCGAGGGACATGGAGCGACCACAACGTCCGGGGCGCGGTACGTAGATAATTGGCGCGAAATTGCCGCGGATTCCGGCGGACAACACACGCAGCGGCAAATGCACATGCCAGGGACAAAATGCCCCTCATTGAGACGAATTTCAGCGTCGGCTGGTGACCGGCCCAGACAGCCCGGCTGGTGGGGAAGCAGGCGCGGCAACCGGCAACGGAACGGGGGGGAGAAGTCGCCCTTGCGGCGCCCAGCTCCAGCCGAACCGCAATCGGAGGCGAGGCCAAGACGGACGGCAAGGCACTGTAAAAAGCCGCGGGCAGAACGCGAGCCCGAGCGGCCACTGACCAGACGGAACCCACGTGTGTGCACACTCAGCCAGGCCGTCCAAGACCTCGGAAAAACGGGGCCAGCGCGAGCGAGAGCAACTAACTCAGACTCACTGCAGCTCCACGAGCATGCGCTGATGCGGCGAGGGTGGCCCGACTCACCAAGGCTCACTGAAGCTGAGGTGTGGCTGACCAGCGTCGGAGCGCCATCCAGCAAGAGGTTGACCACTGGTGTGCGTTCGCGAGGCTAAGCAACCTCCAGCCGGTAGCCAGCGTGCTTACATCGTATCCGACTCACGCAGTTCGGGGGCACAAGGATGCAATGTGCTGACGAGGGCTGATGGCTGTGGCTGCGCCAAGCAGAGCGAAACGAACTCGAACCGCAAAAGGGTGAACCACTCAATGCAGGGCCGTTCCCTTGACGAAGCCAATCGCCATGTGTATGGCGGGCAGCCGCGCCCACTCAACCCCTGCCGCGCTGCCCGTGCAGAAGCCGAATACCTCCGACGCCGGGGCGACCCGGTAGCTGGCAGCCCCAGCTGCTGGGCCGCGCCGTTCGCTGCCGGCGCGCTGACGGCGGGCCTAGACGTCCTTGTAGTAGAACCATGGCCGGGTCGTAGATGAAGGAAGGTGTTCCCAGGGCAGGTCTTAGGGCAGGGGGGGGGGGGGGGGGGGGGGGGCGCAGCCAGAGGCCGCTGAACACGAGTGTCAGTGGGGGGGGGGCCCGAGCACCATCCAGTAAGAGGCGGGCCGCTGGTGTGCGCGCACGAAGCTGAGCAACCTCCAGCCGGTAGCCTGTGTGCTTACATCGTATCCGAATCACGCTTTTCGGCGGCACAACGATGCAATTGTACTGGCGAGTGCTAGGGCTGCGGCTGCGTCGAGAAGAGTGAAACGAGCTCGTGCCGCAGAAGGCTGAACCACTCGATGTGGGGCCGCTCGCTTGGACGCAGCCAATCACCACGTGTATGGCGGACGGCCGCACCCGCTCAACAACTGCCATGCTGCCCGTGCAGAAGCCAAATACCTCCGACGCCGTGACGAACCGGTGGCTGGCAGCTGTGGAGCAGCTGGGCCGTGCCGTTCGCTGGCGGCGTGCTGAAGGCGGGCCAAAACGTCCTTGTAGTAGAACCATGGCCGGGTCGGCGACGAAGGAAGGGCCGCTGTCCCCTGGGCAGGCCTCAGGGCAGACGCGCTCCTGCGGCCGGCGCAGTGCGATGGCGCTGTTGGGCAGGGGGGGGGCGCAGCCAAAAGCCGCTGGGGCGAGCGCCGATGAAGGGGGGGGGGGGGGGGGGGGGGGGGCGCAGCCAAAAGCCGCTGAACACGCGTAGAAATGGGAAGTGGCCGGCGGCCGCGCTGCCGCCAGTGACGACCTAATCCAGGGGCGGGGGCATCTTGGCGGGGGGGGTGCCGCGCCTTGCACAGGGCGCGCGTGCACTGTACTTCTTGTCCACGGCTGTGAAAGGTGGGGCGCAGGAGGTGGGCTATTTCAGCCACCAGTCACTGCCGTCCAAAGTGGCTGTCGTGGACAGCGGGAGTGCGGGGCCGGGGGGGGTGGCTGCATACGACCCAAGAGCCCTCGCAGTGGCCTCCGTCGTGGGGGGCTGTGGCCGTGGCCCCGCGCGGCAGACGGAGACGCCCCAGTCGGCCGCAGGGGAGGAGAGGTCTGGCAAGGTCCACGAATCCAGCGTGGGCTGTCTATCTGAGCAGCGATATGGCATTGGCGCCCCTCCGCCCCAGCGGAGGTCGCGCGGGGCATTGCGGCCGGGGCCGGGCGCTGCAGGTGAAACTGTCCTAGAGGGGGGGGGGGCGCGGCGAATGCCGGGCGGGGGGGGGGGCCGAGGCGGGGTAGGGGATGGCGTGAGCTGCGCGCAGCGGGCTGCGCGATAGGTGATGCAGGAGGTGGGCCGCAGCGATCGCCGGTTCGCTGACTGCCGCCGAGAGAGGCGTCGCCACGGCTGGGGCCCCTGGGGAGGTGGCCAGAGCCAAAGTTGCGGGCAATCCTGAGGTGAGGGCGCCAACAACGGCGGAAGATGCCGCCGCGCTGGGGGGCGGGCCACCTCAGAGCGGGCCCCTCCTTGCGTCCCCGTCATCTAGGTCAGGAGTCCCAACCTCGTCGGCTCTTGTCATCGCATGGGTCGTCTCCTCTGGGAAACTAGCGCTTGCCCTTTGCCTTCCAGTCTGTCTCGGTCCATGGCGTGCCCTGGCGCCCTCGCGAGCCCCATGACTGCCGTCCACGCCGCGAAGAGGCTGAGCTAGACGCACCGGCGCCAGTCCACTGATCTGCTGGGGCCGCGCGTGCCGCCCCCTTGCCCGTTGTGGTCCAAGGGGAGGGGCGGCCGCTGCCGCCGGTCCCGCGAGAGGTGTGGGGTCTGACGTCGCGTTGCAGGAGCCTGCCGTATCGGTCCTTGACACTTGACCAGACGACGCGGAGCTTGAACTCTCTGTCCATCTTGTAGGCATCAAATTCTGCTTTGCTCCATGCCTGGAGGAACTCGTTGCACTGCTGTGCGGAGTTTAGCTTGGGATCAAGCTTGGCACAGTAGCTCCCTTGCCTCGCGGCTGCCCTCCAGACCCAGGCGCCCCAAACTCCGTGAAACGCACCGCCCAGCGTCTTCTGCAGACGTGAGATCTTGTCTTGTGCCGGCTCGTCCTTTGAGACGTCCGCTTCGTCAACCGGGCGCGTGTGCATGGGGGCGCCTCCGATGGGGTCGTCAGGATCTTCTGCGGGTGGCTGCGCTCCCCGCATGTCATCCAAGGAGGCCTGGGTGGCGCGCGGCTGCGGAGGGACCTCGCTTGGGGGTGGGGTGGCCGGGTGTTCCCTGACCCTGTTGTTATCTTTCGCGGGTGGTCGCCGGCTACCATCGCCATCCGCGTGTCTCAGAGACCTGTTGTCCCGGGAGTCGTTGAAGCTCCGGATCCGATCACCCCCGCTACGAAGGTCGCCTGGGGCGTTCCTATCTCGGGCTGCTTCCCTGGAAACGGCCTGTACATACGGGGACCGTGCTTCTGAGTGGGTCCTGTCGGGTGGTGTTTTCCAGAGCTGGGGGGGGGGGGGGCAGGGATCCCTTTGTCATCCTCGGGGAGAGCGGTGTCACTTAGGTCATCGTCGGGGTGAGTGGGGCTGACTTGCGAGCTTGAGTCCACGGAGATGTCATGCGGACTTGAGTGCGCGTAGACGTCGGACTCGGACTTCCTGCCCCCCTCGTCTCCTCAGTCAACCCCTTCCACGTCGCCTTCGCCCTTGCAAGGCCCCAGTGGGGTTTGTCCCCCTGCCTGGGGTAAGGGAATTCTGTCAGCCTCGGCAAGCTGTGGGGGTGTCCCGACGGTGCGGGTCGGGGATGCTCCTTGCGCTCCCACTCGGCGGTCCACAGCGGGGTGTTCCTTGCTGTTGGTGGTCCTGTTGAGCCAGTTGGCTGCTGGTGACTCATCCACGCCTGGGCTGCTGGCTGCCGTCTCGCGGGGCAGGGCGGCGAGGTGGTTGATGGTGCCCCTGGCCAGTGCGGTGCCTTCCAACCTTGTCAGGAAGGCCAGGAGGATGTGAAACGGCTGTCGGAAGGGGCACTGCCCTTTCTGGTCAGTAAGGTTGTCTGCGTAGCGTTCCCATGCTTCTTTGTACTTCTGGCTCTTGCCCGCCAGGTGTGAGACCACCCTGGCTGCTGCGGCGCGCTGTCCGTCCCATGGGACGTGCGGGGGGTGTCCGTTCGCTGGGATCGCCTCTCCATACCCCGCATCCAGGAAGGGGAGCAGTCGCTCGGTCGGCCACCTCGCCTTATCGGTTATGTCACCTTGGATGCCCGCGCCTTGTTGCTGTACATAGGTGGCCCAGCGGATGTAGACCGTGTGGTTCCACTCCAGCAAGTACTTAACTAGGGCGTGGACGGGGCCATCAGACTCCACCCCGGCGAGCCGATAGGTGGAGACAGTGGGCAAGAAGGGGCACTCGGGCGGAACCGCCTTGGGAAACAAGGAACTGCTGCTGCTGGGGGCCCCGTCGTGTGCTCCCGGTTGGCCGTCTGGGTTGCTGATCTCCATGTCATGTAGTGTCGAGTCATCCTCGAGAGTATGCGTCTTTCACAGACGCGCTGACTCCTGCTGGGGAGAGGTGGGCGCAGATGTCGTAGCTGTCTTCTGGCACCTCCGCTGTAACCTTCCGCTTGGTAGGACAAGGGGGGTACACCTCGGAAGAGTGGTGGTCGAGGATGTGGTCAAGGATGCCTGGCGCCACATTCCGCTGGTGGTGATATATATATATAGATATATATATATATATATATATATATATATATATATATATATAATAGAGCCGCAGGCGACAGCGCCGACAGCGGGCGGTCACGGTCGGGCTGCGGCCGCGACTAAATTCCCGAGCGCGCGCGGGGGCCGCGGATCAGGCGGCGGGGGGGGGCGGCGCCCAGGGCGTCTGAGAGGCCAGGCGAGCGTGCAATCCATGGAGCTGGTGGGGATACGCGAAGCGTGAAGAATTTTCCTGGATGCTGCTGTAAAATGGACCTGGCGGTCCCCGTGCGTCGCAAATGTCATCAGTTTCCTTTCGCGTGACCCTCTGGACCCATCCTCTTCCGCTCTGCCTTCTCCCTACCCGCTCCTCCCCTGCCCGTTCAGAGGCTCGCAGGATCTCCGAAATTGCCGTTTTCGTTGAATTTCTGGCTTTGTCGTGGGCTCTGTCAGGGTTGACGGTTGGGCATTTCTGGGCTTGGGAATTCCTGGGTCCGCCTCGGAGTTTCTGGGCTTTGTTCTGGCTCCGGATCTCGAAGTTTGGTTGGGATTCCTGGGCCCGGCTCTGGATTTCTGGGTTGCAGCTTACCCTCTGCAGAGGCCTCTGGAGGTCCCCCCCAGAGTCCTGCAGAGTAAGAGAGGCAGAGTCGACGTGCACATGGACTTTCGAAGGCCCGCGTGGCTCTCTCGGATCGGCGCTCGAGTCGTCTCCCTGGCGTGTGGAACGCACGGGCGGCGCTGGGGGCTGAGGGGCAGCGATACGGTCGGAGCGTTGACCCAAGGAACCCTAAATAATGAACGAGGCCCCTTTCATCTACAAGTTGAACTTCGATTTCCCATCGAAAACCGAAGGAAAACACAAGGTAAACTGTGAAGCAATCAAGGAACACGGAGCCCCTCCTCAACGAAAAGGGTTCCTTCTTCAGCGCCCCGACTGTAGGGGGGACCAACTCAGGGGGGAGACGTCGACCTGGGACCGGCGATGCGTCGCCGGTAGAGCGGAGACAGGCTCCCGATGGCGACTCTGGACGGTCCTATAGGCGGGGTGGGCTGTCGGGCCCCTCTCGGCGACGAGTGGGTAATTGCGGGTCGATGCATCCCCCCTGAGAGCATATCGTTGCCCCTGAGGGGCGGCGCCGAGAGGCCATGCGCCGATGCACGCGAAACTCGCGCTGATCTGTCAAAATTTTCCGATTCTTGCTGGCTTCTCTTCCTCGACCGTCGCCGCCGCCGACGCCTCCGCCGTCGACGCCAGTTCGGGCGCTGGAAGAACCCCCGACCCCATCCTTCTGCGGCACTTCAAAATCGAACCGGGTCAACCCGTCAAGATCCCGCGGCCCGAAACCGGCCAGAACGCCCGGCGTGCACAAGTTGCAACGCCCGAGTCTCACGGGAGCGGCCAAGAGGGGGGTGTCCACGAGGGGGGGGGTGCACATCTTGACCGGCGGCATGTGCGCGGCCCAGCGGGGGGGGGGGCAGGGACGTAATGAAATAAGAAGGGGCGCCATGAAATCTGGGGAAAAATGGGAAAAATCATGGCCCCCGCCATGATCTCCACCCCCCCCTGGTCATCACCCCCCTCTTTTCCACCCCCGGCGAGGCCCCTCGGCGAGGCCGAACACAGCTGCATGCAGCAAATTTCGTACCCCCCCCCTTTCCCCATCCCCCCCTTTCGTTTTGGACGCCCGAAATGGGCACCGAAAAAATGGGTACTATGCCCAATAGCAAATGTTGTCCCAAACCAACAGCGGCCGCTGTTGGGCGGGCGGCCTCCTGTCTCGAATGGACACAGGCCGCGGCGGCGCGGACAGCGAGGCCTGTTCAGAATGAACAGGAACTGCTGCTGGGCATCGTACCCATTCTTTCAGTACCCATTTCGTGCGTGCAGATTCGTCCGGCCCCGGATTCCCTGGCCATCGGCGGAGCTCCCGGCCGGGGCCCGACCGCCGTCGGCGCCGGGAGCCCGATCGCCCGCGCGGGCGGCCGGGCGCCCGGCTCGCGGGGTGCTGCACGCGGGCCTCCACGCGGAGCACCTGGCGGCGGGCGCCGCGCGCCGAGGCAAAGATCGGCTGGCCTGAGGCTCTCAACACCGCGAGCATCCAGTCTGCACTGGGCGAAATTAAAGGGGCCCCAGAACACACAAATGACTACACACAAATAAAAACATCCCCCATATTTTCGTATGTTTTCTGTTTTTTTTGCTTCCCCCCCCCACTTTCGATATTTTTTCATATTTTCCTGGAGATAGACGATTCATTGTGTCTGTGTGTGTGTGTGTTTTTCCTCCTGAGAAATGGGCACGGAAAGAATGGGCACAATGCCCAACAGCGGATCTGGTTCATTTCGAACAGGACTCGCTGTCCACGCCGCCGCGGCCTGTGTCCATTCGAGAAAGAAGGCCGCCTGCCCAACAGCGGCCGCTGTCGGTTTGGGACAACAGTTGTTGTTGGGCATTGCCCCCATTCTTTCCGTACCCATTTCGGGCGTCCAAATCCATAACAAGGATGCAGGGTAAGGATGCAAGCCCGTGGGAGGTTCCACTTTCGATCTCGAGCTTCTTTGACGCCAATGTTGGCTCAGGATGGGCCGACAAGGCAAGGCTGCACGTGTAGCCTTCATGAAACAGCGCAGCCGTGCTACGTATTTCTGTCGCACGGGGCCCCGCAAGTCTCGATGCTCTCCTGGGGGCCGGCTGTTCCTCCCGAGCAGTTTCGCTTGCGGCCCCAAGGCCCAACAAGGGCCTCTGGTAGATGAAACGAAAACGGCACAAACATAAACTTTGGGCGCTCCGCGTGGATTTCTGGGATCTGGGCTGGAACACCCTTCCTGGCGCGCGGAGCGCGCCAGGGGCGGCGGCGCCACAGGCGCCGCCCGGGGGGGCCCGGCGCGGACCCAAGAAATCCGCGCGGAGCGCGAAAAGTGTATGTCTATGGCGTTTCTTTCTTCATCGATCCAGGGCCGAAAGTAGCAACGCCTGCGTTTCCCAGATCTATATGTGTATACATCTACATATATATATATATACACATACAGACCATCATGCATACACATATGTATACATATATATATGTAGATACACATGTGTATGTATATATATATAAAGAGGACAGCCCCACCCAGCACCCACTCTTACCAGCTTTCGCTTCCTCATCCTCTTCCTCGGCTGTCTCTCTCATCCGATATATATATGTATATATATATATGCATGTGTATGTGTATCTATATATGTATTCGAAACGTTGGATCTCTGGTAGGGGGCCTTGCCCTACGTCGCCCGGCCCCCCGTGCCCCGGGGGTGGCGACCGCCTGGCCGAGCGCCCGCCGCCCCCGCTGGGGCATAGAGGCCTCCCTCGGGCCGGACGAACCGGGGGGGGGGATAGAGGCCTCCTGGATAAATAGGGTCCGAGTAGGTGGGGTCGGAGGATCTCGGCGATGCCTCGCCAATGCATCAGTAACCCATTCTCGGGCCGGACGACGGGGGGGGGTATGGAGGCCTCCTGGATACAGTGAGGGCGCGGCCGCAAGAAGCCCTGGCAAGAAGCCCAACCCTGAAAACCCGCGCGCGAGGTGCGCCCTGTGGGGAGTCCGGGAGCGCCGGGAACGCGGCAGCTTCTTCGACGGCTGCGGGGAAGTCACCGCGCAGCGGGCGGAGCGAAGAAACCCAGGATACCCTGACGAAAAGCACATGGTTCTTGATGCGCGCCCCCCACTGTAGGGTCCGAGTAGGTGGGGTCGGAGGATCGCGCCGCATCGCCGACACATTGGCGATGCATCGGCAATGCATCGGCGATGCATCGGCGATGCACCAGCGGTGCATCACCGACGTCGGCGATGCGTCGGCGACGTCGACGGGAAGCAAATCGGGCCCCACATCGAGCCGCATCGTCGATGCATCGGCGATGCGGCGCGATCCTCCGACCCCATCTGCTCCGACCCCACCTAGGAGGCCTAGATAGTAGAGCCCTCAGATCCTGGCGGCCCCCCTCTCTCGAGCCAAGCGCTACTGGTCGCAACTCTGCGCGAGGGAGTGCACGACGCTTTCGCGATGCCGGATCTCCGGGAGCGGGGGGGGGAGCGAACCCGCCCTCGCAGCCTGACCTCCACGGCGCCTCCAGGCGCTGGGGGGCTCCCCCCCCCTCCCTCTCCCCCCTGCCCCTCCCGCCCTCCCCCCCCCCCCACCCTTTCGTCCGACCTGACGCTCGGGATCCGCCTGCCCACGCCTCCTGGAGCGCGGGCGATGGGGGGGTCGGAGCGGCAGCGGCAGCGGGCCCTCTGGGGCGCCCTGCGGCAGCGGGCAGCGGGCCTTGCGGCAGTGGCAGCGGGCCCTTCGGGCCCTGCCGGCCCTCTGGGGGCGCTGTTCGGCTGCCTCAAGCCCCCCCCCCCCTTTCCCAGAGCCCTCCCGGGACACCGCCGATAATGGGGCTGCGCCCGAGAGAGCAGCAGCACGCGTTTCCCGCCCAAGTATCCTGGCAAATCTTCCCTGAAAGACACGTTCCCGCTTTGGCGAAGCGCACGCTTCAATCGCCGGTCCAACCGAGGCTGGGCCGCACGCCAACAATTCGAGTAAGCGATTATCCCCAAAATACTTGCGTTCCAGCTTGGGCACGTTTTTTTTCCTTCGTCAGATCTTCAGACGCAGGGCTGTGCGCGCGCGAGCTCCTTCCGTTCGCTGGGTGTGGGCGCGCACCACTTCCAATTTCCACTTTCGGCGGCATCCGATTTCATGTGATAAGAGATACGGAAGGATCGGGCAGCGCCTGGTGATTCCTTCGAGATGGCTGACTGCCACCTAGCTGGCCGATTGCCACCACATCCAGGACGTTCCATCCCACTCCTCAAACAACTCAGTATACAAAACTTATGTTTTTCTCACCATGGACGATTTACAATCGACGATACAAACTGTGTGGCAAGAAAACCTTTCCCGCGAAAAGGCGGAATGTCGCTCTCGCCTTTATGCCGCGCCCATGTTTCCTGAAATGCATCTCCCGCTCAACGCAGTGTGCTTTTTTGTCGCTGCCCGAACCAGTCGACAGCAGGGATGCGCGCGGGCGAGCGACATGTCGCTGTCGCCTCGGAGCCGCGCGGCTGTCCTTTGAAAATGGCGCTCCCGCTTGGGCGCGGCACATGTTTTTGACTGGCCGGGTCTTTGGTGGCGCGGCCGCGCGCGAGCGGGCGTACGATCGCCCTCGCCCACAACCGCTTCGGCGCCAGCGCGGCGCGGCAACGGGGGCGCGCGAGGGCGGGCGAAGCGCTGGTTGCGCCGCAGCGCCGCGCGGGTTCGGCGTGAGGGCGGTCGTGTTGCCGCGGCGCGGCGCATGCACCGTCCGCGCCGCGTTCATCGTGCATCTAGCCGTGCGACGAGAGGCTACGTGGCGCTCGCGCCGCAACGCCGCGCAAAGACTTTCGCAATGCTGCTCCGGCGCGGCTCGTGCACCGTCTTCGCCGCGCTCACCGGACATTTTGCCGTGCGAGAACTTCGTGGAAAGTCCACTCGCGCCCGTGCGCGACCCGTGCGTTATCCCCTTGCATAGTGTCGTCGCGAGCGGGACCGCGCGCGAGCGCCTGCCGTGCGCTGAAGGGACATCGCGCCGTTCTCAATGTCAGATTGCCCCGTCGCTGGCCTTTCTGTCGGGAATGAACGGGGCCCGCCTGCTCGCTCGCCCTGGCTCATCAGTTCGACGCATACTCCTGCTCCAGATGACCATGGTTCTCCTGAACATGCTCTTGTTCTTCCCCACCACTCATCCATATTATATCCCAAACAGTAGCCTGGCGAACGAGCCAACCAGCTCAACGCCTACTCCTGCTGCTCTGGATGACAATGGTTATCCTGATCCGGATCGCGCTTTTTCACCACTCGTCCATATGTTCTCCAACCAAGACCCTGGTGAAAGGTCCAATCATCTGCAGTGAACCGCAAGTGGGACATCCCGTTTTCGGTGGTGCTCCCTGCGGGGTCACGAAACGTGTGTGGGGGGGTGGGGTGGGGCGAAATTGGCGGGGGGGCATGCGGGCCCTGTCACTGGGGCCTTCGGTGGAGCTCCCTGTGGGGCAACGAAACTTGTGACGGGTGTGCCGACATGAGTGTGGCGGGCGCGTGCGGGCTCTGCCACGAGGGCCTTTGGTGGAGCCCCCATGGGGCTACGGAGCGTGTGAGGGGTGTGCCAAAATGTGTGGTGAGGACGGTGGTGGCGGTGTCGATTGAGGCCTTCGGTGGAACTCCCTACGGGGCCACGGAACGTGTGAGGGGTGTGCCGAAAATGATGTGGCGGGCGCGTGCGGGCGGTGGCACTGGGGAGTCGGTGACGCTCCCTATGAGGCCACGAAAGGTGGGAGGGATGTGCCGAAGTGGGTGTGGCAGACGCATGCGGGGGGTGGCACTGGGGCTTCGGTGGAGCTCCCTAGAGGGCCACCAGCCCTGTGAGGGGTGTGCCGAAAGGGGTGTGGCGGACGCGTGCGGGCGGTGGCACTGGGGTCTCTAGTGGGGCTCCCCGTGGGGCCACGGAGCGCGCGAGGGGTTTGCCGAAATGGGCGTGTTGGACCTTAACTATGGAGCCACGAATCGCGTGTGTGTGTGTGTGTGTGTGAGTGTGTGTGTGTGTGGGTGCGTGCGCGAGAGAGAGAGAGAGAGAGAGAGAGAGAGAGAAAGAGAGAGAAAGAGAGAAAGAGAGAAAGAGTGAGGTTGCGCCGAAACTGGCGTGGCGGACGCATGCCGGCGGTGGACCTGAGACCTTTTTTAAGCTGTGGGCCAGGCTCGCGCGGCACGAGCTCAAGTTCTACCAACCGCACAGCCGGTGGTCGCAGAGGCGCCGGCGGCAAGCGAAAGCCTGAAACGGGGCGCCGTGCGGCGAACGAACGAGCGAGCCAAAAGGGCCAACCCGCCGCCGACGGCCAAACCCCAGCTCACCGCCCTGACTTCGCCTCGGCGGCGTCGGCGGCAGGTCAGCACGGACGCGCTCGACCTTCTCGAGGCGGCGCTGCAGACCTCGCGCGCTGTCGGGAGCTTGCGCGCAGAAGACAGGCCTCGGTGCTTACCTCCGATCACGCGGGTATAGCAGTGACACTAGGTGCACATGAGATAACCGTTGGCAGTGACTAGCTGGTGCTCGCCGCTGGCCGCCCTCGCGCTCCTGCGCCATCTCCTGTGGACGGCGATGGGGCAAGGGGGCTTTTCCAGGGCCAACAACCGAATCTAATCGCGCGAGCTCGAGCGGCGAGCAGAAACAACAGCACCCTGCGACGCGACCTGACCTGAGCAAGACTAATTGCTCTGGGAACTGTGTCGCTCAAAGTCGCGAGCAAGTGTGGGAGTGCTGCCTGGGGCTTTCGCTGCGTGGCCTTCAGGAGCCCTAAACGCGGGGTCTAGAGGGGCTTTCGCAGCGGGGTCTACAGGGGTTCCACGCACAGACATGGCGTTGATTTTATCGCAAGCCGAGCTCGCAGTGCCGTTCGAGCTAGCTCCAGTCTCGGCCGCGAGATGGAAATCGACCTTTTGCTGGGCCGTCCCCGCGTCCTTCGCGTTCGGCGCCTCGTCGGCGCCCTCGTCGTCGGGCTGGGGGCGCTGGCCCACCGTGCCCGCGAGGGCCGCAATGGCCGCCGCCGTCGTGGCCGCCGTCGCCAAGGCAGCTCGGGCCGGTCGCGTGAGCGAGGGCCCTCCAGAGAGCGACGGGGCGCAAGGCCTCGGCGCGCACGTCTTGGCCCAGAAATGCGCCTTGATGTTGCTGCTGTGCGCCGTCTTGAGGCACCGCAGACAGTGGATGCCTCCGTCGGGCACCTCGATGGCCGTGGCTGGTCAGGAGCAGCGCAATCTTGACGTCGCGCTGCGGTGTCTTCTCGTCCAAGATATCTGCGCTGCCGTCAGCTGCCATGGTGCCTGCCACAGAGACCCGTAAGCACGCGGCGCCGAGCATGGTCCGACGCGCATGGAAGATCCGCCCGATGTCGTCAGCGGCCCCGAAGTGAGCGGCCATGAGCGGCCCGTGGTAGCCGAGGGGGTGGCGGCGCCGACCGTGGCCGAGGTTGCCGCCGGCCCGGGGCGATCGGAACGCCCACGCACTCGTCTAACTCGTGGAAGGGGCCGCGCGCGTCGACCATGTTGATCTCCGCCTGCGCGACGAAGGTCTGCCGGGCGCTGTCTCAGTCGGTGACGCGCTCGATGTGATCGCGAGCCCGACGCCAATCTGCGGCGCGGTCCCTCGAGAAGCGCGCCGAGGGCCCGGGCAGGGGGGCCGCTGCGCAGACCGCGCGACCGAAACCTGCTGGTGCTTGTCGAGCCCTAGTAGCTCTAGGGCGACGAGGTAGCGCGGGGCGAGGTCGAGCCCGTGGATGGCGCTGGCCTCGACGCCTCGAAACATCCTCGAGACCGAAAAGTACTCCATGATTATGTCGGCAGGGCTGCAGGTGGGCTCCGTCGGAGCCGCCGCCCCGGCCCGCGCTGCTTGCAACCCCCCCGACACTCGGCCAGGGCCGCGGGCTCCATGTTGAAGTCGCCGCAGACGACGAAGGGCCGATCGGCCGACTGTAACGCCCTGAACGCGGAGCGCAGCGTGTCCGCGCTGCGCCTGTTGAGCACGGCGCCAACCTCCAGGTAGACGTTGGCCCACGCGATGCCACCTCTGCATATTCCGTCCAGATGAGGGACGCTGGCGCGGCCTGGCTCCAGAATGGCAGGCCTGCCGAGGAGCTCGGGGGGTCCGGGACCGAGACTCTGGGGCGCCATCTGGACGAGCCCGCCGCGACCCTGCACTCCAGAGCCTGCGTTGATCGCTGGCGCCGCTTCGGTGGCCCATCCGAGCCTGCGAAGCTGACCGTGGACCGCGCGGGCCCTGGGGCTGTCGAGGCACGTCTCCTGGGCGGCGACGAAGTGGCTGTACCTGGCTGTGGCCGCGCCCAGGAGCTGGGCGAAGCGTGGCCACGAATTGCAAGCGGCGGCGATCCACCAGCGTCTTGCCCGACCGCCTTCCCGCTTGGGCAGCAATGAAGACCTGTTGCCACCTGCCGCTGAGCCTGGCAGGCTACCCCGACGTCCTGGCACGCTCGGCCTGCCTGAGGGCCTCGAGCGCATCCACTAGGCGTTCTTCTCCGATCTGCAGCGCTGCCGAGGACTCCGCCAGGGTCATCAGCGGCCAAAAAAATGCCGAAGTCGACGCCGTCGTCGTCAGCAAAGGCTGCGTCGCCGTCGCCAGGAGGTGGTGCTGCACCAGGCGCTCCGCCGCCGCCTGGTGGATGCACTTGCTGCGGGACCTCAGGAGGACGCTGGACCTTCGCAGCAGCTGGCAACTCGTCGAGGAGCGAAGAGAGGCTGGCCGAAACTTCAGCACCAGTCTTGCCCTCGGTGGGGGCGGCTGCAACCTTCTCCTCGACGGTGCGGAGCGTCTCGTCCGTGGTCCCTGAGGCGCAGAGCTTGGCAGCCTGCTTCCTGGCATCCTCAAGCTCGGCCTTCCACTGAGCCAAGACACGAGCTGCCTCGGCCAGCGCCCCCAACGCCTTGTGAGAACCCGCTCGTGCTTGGCGCTGGCATCAGCCACCGCCAGGGAAGCCTGGTCGACCGTGAGAGGAAGCTTCCGAGCCTCAGAGCCCAAAACACCAGCGGCGGCTTTTCGGCGTGCCAGCTCGATATTGTCCCGACTGCTCCTGAACAGATGCTGTTTGACAGTCTCGTATGAGTCCATGGCCATTGCTGCGTAGACTGCGATATTGCCGGGCGTGGGCGTGATGGTGGTAGGAGCAGGCGCACCCCCCCTTGCCCTTGACCTTTGCCACCTCCGCCCTTGCCTCCGCCCTTGGGCTGCAGTTTGGGCCATGGGGCTTGCTCGCTGGACCACGCTCCTCCGAACGCCCACTTGCCGCCTGGCTTGTGGGGCCCGTCGTCGCTGCAGGTGTTTAGCCTCCGCACCGCACTCTTCGCGGCACTTTGCCATGAAAGCCAGAGGGTCTACGCGACCAGCAGCACGTGAACAATGACTGCGCACCCTCGGGCTGACCGGGCTGAGGGAGGCAGGTGGTGACCAGGGGCGGGCCTGGCTGCGCGAAAAAAATGATCGCAAGCTCGGGGAACAGACCGGTCCCGTTTGCGCCAGGAGGCTGACAACCTCCCAAGCATGGAGTCTTGAGCCAAAATGGCTACGGATGTGGCAGTTGGGCCGTCGGTGGAGCTCCCTATGGGGCCACGAAACTTGTGAGGTGGCACTGGGACCTTCGGTGGAGCTCCCCATGGGGCCACGAAGCGTGTGAGGGGTGTGCCGGAATGGGTGTGGCGGACGCCTGCGGGCGGTGGCACTGGGGCCCTCGGTGGAGCCCTCCGTTGGGCCGCGAAACGTGTGATGGGTGCTCCGAAATGCGTGGCGATGATGGTGATGATGACGGCGGTGGCGATGACGATGATGATGACGATGCCGATGACGATGATGATAATGCAAGTGCTGATGCTGCTGATGGTGCTGATGATGACGGTAGTGATGATGATGAATATGATGCTGGAGAAACTGTTGATGATGATGATGCTGATGCTGCTGATGATGATGGTGATGATGATGTTGATAATGATGACGATGCTGATGCTGATGATGATGGCGATGATGCTGATGCTGATGATGGAGGGGGACGGGAGGGCAGCGGGAGGAAGGAGATGTCGTGCGCTGTCTCTTCAAGACGAGGACTCAACACCCCAAGATGCTTGGGAACTATCTAATATCGCAGACACAGCATGAACATCGAACTGGGAAAACGAATCTACTCAGAATGCGGATCTGATCGATGGGAATCGGAATCGAATCGGATCGGCCACGCCAAAACCAAAATGCACAACTGCGCCCGTACAAACATCGGGCCGCATCGGACCGTCGGAATATCGGAATCCAGTCGGACCGAGCCGGCCGAATTCGATATCGAATCGGATCGATCGGGTCGAAATAGACCCCGCCTTTCCCTCCTCACCTCTTCTTCTTCCGCCTCCTCGAGGCTCCCTTGCACTGGGTCTGGCCTTGCGCGAGCTCAGCGGCCTGGATATGGCGCAGTCGTAACCGCCGATCATGGGCAAGATGCTCTCTACCTCGCTGGAGTGCAAGGAGGAGGGAGGAGGATAGTGATGGAATGAAGAAGAGGAAGAGGGAGGAGGAGGAGAAGGAGGAGGAGGAGGAGAAGGAGGAGAGAAGAGTCGGAGGAGGGGGAAGGAAGGAGGAAAGAAGAAAGGATGGAAGGGGGATGAGCAGGAGGACGAGAGGAGGAGCAGGACGAAGAGGCGGAGTAATCCGCCGACCCTTCGGCGCGTGGAGTACGCTGTCGTCGTCGTCAGTCCCAAGAAAACGTGATGAACAAGGAAAATTGAGAAACAAGGAAGAGGAACAATAACAAGTCGATCCCCCTCCCTGTATCCCTTCCCTGCTGGGGGCGGTGGGGTCCTGGAAGGGGGCGGTCGGGGCGGGGGTTGGGGCGGAAAGGGTCCCGTTCCAGAATGCCACTCCCGACCGGGGTCCAGGCGGGTTCTGGGGGAGGTCGCCTTCAGGGTCGGCGCTCCGGCCGTGTAAGGCCTACGCAGTAGTGGGGGAAGAGGGAGATACTAGCGCGGAGAGGGGGGAGGAGGGGGGGAGCAGGGACGAGACTCCTCGAAACTTCCCGAGTCTCCAGAACTCTCTGGAGGTCCCCGGAAGCGTCTGGGGAGGCTCAAGGGCTAGAAAGCTCAAGAACCCTTTGTTCTCAAACCTCGATCCGCGAAGGTCTCCTCCTCCTGCTCCTCCTCCTCCTCCTCCTTCTCCTCCTACCCCCCCCCTTTCCTCCTCCTCCGCCTCCTCCTCCTCCTCGTCGTCGTCCTCCTCCTCCTCCTCCGCCTCCTCCCCCTCCTCCTCCTCCTGCTCCTCCTCCTCCTCCTCCTCCTCCTCCTCGTTTGCCCGACGGCCCACCATTCCTCTCCTGTGGTGCGTCCCGGCCACAATTTCAACATTGGATATAATGCCCTGTCATTAAAAGGTATATGTATATGTATATGTATATGTATATGTATATGTATGTATATATATATATATGTACATGTGTGTATGTATACATGTCCACTTGTGTACAGGTATGTGTTCATGTATGAGAGAGCGCGTTTCCCGGGCGCTTGCCTTGGGAACCTTCGGCAGCGAGTTTCGAACCGGGGGGTGGCCCCCCCCCAACACTCGGCGCCGTCGATCAGAACCAGGGGGACTCCCCTCCCCCCTACCCCCCCCCTCCCGACCCCCCCCCCGCGCCGGCGCTGGCGGCCGCCGCAGCGCCAACGCAGCAACGATGACCAGAGAGAGCCCAGGAGGGGGGGGGTTCAACCCCCGCCCCCCCGCGCCGGCAACGGCCACAGCACTGGCGGCGGCCACCAGCGCCGACGGCGGGGACGCAGCGACGATGACCAGAGAGGGCCCAGAGGCCGCAAAGGGAACACACACACAAATCGCCATATCCAGCCCTCGCATGCTCCTCAGACGCCCCCGAAGCCCTTCTGACGAGAACTCAAAAGGCATCCATTGGAACTCTGACCCGTTGCCAAAACACAGTGGCGGGAAGAGCCGAAGGCCACACCACCACCACCAACACCACCGCCACCACAGACCACCATACCACCACCACCACCACCACCACCACCACCACCACAACCACCACAAAATATCATCACCACAACCACCACCATCACCACGAACAAACCCACCACCACCACCAACAAAAAAACGCCACCACCACCAGCACCACCACAACCCACCACAACCCACCACAACCACCAAAAAGCACCACACCATTACCACCACCATCACCACCACCACCACAACCACCACCATCACCACAACCCACCACCAACACCACCACCGAAAACCACCACACCACAACCACAACCACCACCACCACCGCCACCCACCACCCACCACCCACCACCACCACCACCACCAGCACCACTGCCAGCAGCGCCACAACCACGACTAACACCACAGCCCACCATCACCACCACAAAATACCACACCACCACCACCACCTCCGCCACCACCACGACCACCACCATCACCACCTCAACCCACCACCACCACCACCACCAAACCACCACCTCAACCCACCACCACCACCAAACCACCACACAACCACCACCACCACAGCCACCACCACACCACCACAACAGCTCACCACAACAACCACCAATACAACAACCCACCACCACTACTACCACCATCACCACAATCTACCACACCACCACCACCACCACCACCTTCTGCCACAACCACCACCACTACTACCAGCAGCGCAACCCACCACCACCACCACAACCGCACAAACCACCTCACCACTACCACCACCACCGCCACTACCACCACCACCACCACAACCCCCGCCACCGCCGCCAGCCGCTGCCGACGCCCGCTTTGGCCCGAAGAGAGGGAGAGAGGAGAAATATGGGAGGGAAGGGTGGGAGGGGGGCCTCGAACCCCCCCCCTCCGTCACGGGAAGGGGGGTGGTGGTTCCACCCCCCCTCCAAGCGACCACAGAACGCGCTCTTTCATATGTATGTATGTATGTATGTATGTATGTATGTATGCATGCATGTACGTACGTACGTACGTACGTATGTTTGTATGTATGTATGTATGTATGTATGTATGTGTGTGTAAGTGTGAATCTGCGCCACAGCCCCTAGCACATATGAGTGTATATGTGTGCATACATGTGCGCACACAGATCGCACGTGTCATTCCATTCACCACACGGATCGGCGCAGCGATTTGTTTTCACGCCCAGGCGGTTGCGGCTTCGGCCTCTAGACCCACGTTTTCTCCTGCATCTCCTACGTTTAGGGGCTCGTCGCGACTCGCACTCTCTGGGCTCCACTCGAACACGCTGGCTCCTCTAAGCCCCTGTTCCCCATTGTCGACCCCTCCCCCCCATCCCCTCCGGGTCTGGAGCGTGGTTGCCCGAGGGGCTCGGGGGCCTCCTCGACGCCTTTTGGGGGCCCCTTTGGGAGCCTCTTCGGGGTGTTTCTTGGAAGCCTCTGGGCCAATGTTGTTCGGCTCAACGGCCCCACGGCGGCCCAAGAAGGCCTCGAGACGGCCCCCAAAAACTTCGAAGACGGACAGTTCTCCAATCTTTCCCTGACAATGCTCCCGATAATTGTCAAGGAACTGTTGGGGAACTATCGGGGAACTGTTCTCCAGAGAACAGTTCTCCGAATGTTCCTGATCATCCCCTGTTGAACGGTATGCTTTCCAGCTCCGCAGCTTACCTATAGATAAATAAGGGAAACCAGCATCGCCTCTTAAATTATTTAAAGACTTTAAATCGTTTTTTGGTCGCAGCTCTGGTAGCAGACCGATCTCATACAACTATCGGAAAACTGTTGAAGAACTGTCGGGGAACTGTTGGAGAACTGTCCGAAACATTGTTTCCAGACGGCCCAAGATGGCCCCCAGATGGCCCAATACGCCTCCAACGAACCTCCAAGAGACCTCCAAAGGGGGCCCCCCGAAGCAAACATCCTAGTTTTCAATTGGTTTTTGATGGTTTGGGGGCTTCTCGCGTTTTCGGATTTCCGACATTCCAAGACGGGGAGGGAGCCAGGTCAGAATACTGTGGAGGCCAGTCCACAAGAAACCTTCCACAAGAAACCCGACCCTGAGACCCCAAGACGTCCATTGATTTTTGGGGTGGGAACGTCGCGCCTTCCGTAGCAAAACCATCGAAACCCAAGAAACCCAGGGCACCCTGGAGGCAAGCAGGGTGTTTCTTGGCACGGGTCTCCACTGCGCCGCCCCCCAGGTTCCAGGCGGGTCCTGGGGGAATGGGTCGCCAGCGGGGGTCTTGGGGGAGGTCCCGCCTTCAGGATCGGCGGGCGGCACAGGCCGTCGGACCTTCGCAATAAAGCGCCCGGGTCGTTGCACATACAAAGTGTCGAGCATCTCTGTAACTCTGACTCTGACAAGTCGAGTCTACACATTACTGTTCGCACTGCAAAACCTATCCCGCCACATGGGTCAAAGTTTCTCTTAGGTTCAGCACCCCCACAAGACAATACCTATACAACGACAACAGAAACCTGGATCCCCAGGGCCAGGTGACATGCATGCATCCGCGCACCTAAATCAACAATGAGGAAGAGAGAGGGGACCTGAGCACAGACTTTGGGCCCGGGTCCAACTCGGTTGCCGAAGTGCACGAGCCGCGGAATCGGATCCAGGAGACTAGCCGCTTGTCCTGCTCCAATGTACGCCGAGAGGCTGCCTGGGACCGGTCCTTGGCCTCGGTTCTGTCGCGGCGACGAAAGGTCTCGTCGTTTTTGTCTACGAGTGCGAGCCTACCATTCGTGAACAAGTTGGCCAGCGCAGCAATTCCCTTGCTCATGTCGTCCTTAGTCATTCCGCCCACCGGCGTCCTTCCATGCGGGATCCAGCGAATGTGACCACGAGCATTTTCTAAGGTCTCGCACGCTACCGCCAGGTCCAGTGCAGTTATCCGATCACGTGCGCTGGCGTTTCCCTCTCTGCGCATGGTGTCGTAGTTACTCTTGGTATCCACGACATGGACTTGTTCCTCCCAGCCCCCTAACCTGCATTCCTGCCAAAAGCCGTCGTAAACGGGCCCGAACCACGGCGTTGGTCGGAGACGTCCACGCCCCCGAAAATCACGCCCCTGCACAAAACCTGGATAAGCTCAACTTCCGCCACTGCCGCCGAGAGCGCCTGCATTTCTCCCGCAAGCGACGAGGGCGCCTTCCGCTGCAACTTCGAACTGCGCCAGGAAAACGCCAATGCCTCGACCGCGCAATCCTCTATCACGCTCTTGTCCGCACTCAAGATCACCCGGGCGCCCTGCGTCAGATCTTCCGGGAGACCCTCGTCATCAACCCGGTCCTCGCGCGCCCCCGCCCCCCCAGCATCCGAGAAGGACGCGGGCGACATCTTTTCAGGGCCGAGCTTCGAAATCGTGAGCCCCCTGGAGGCGGCGGTTGCGAATGTCGGGCCATCTTGTTCGCGCGGCGCGCATCTCCGGTGGCGGGGGCCTTCAGTCGATTGGCTAGACCACTGGTGGCGCCAGCGGCCTCTGGGC